CTGGAGTCTAACTGGAGAAAGTAGGTCACTAGAAAAGGTATACTTTGTCCCTAGCTCCTTCCTGTCTCTGTCTCCCTGCTTTGTGGCTGCTATGGGAGCTCTCCTCTGCGATGCTCTGACTCACATAGGTCCAGAAACATGGAGCCAATCAACCTCAAACAGAAGCCTATGAAACCACAAGACTAGTGAATCTCTCTCCCTCTGAACTCTTTATGTCAAGTATTTTGTCAAAGCCACAAAAAGTGAACATCATAGTTATTAATAATCTTTTAATGGAACATTGGTGAAATATAAGGTCTATAAATTAAATAATAGCAGAATATCAATGCTTAATTCCTATGTTACGGTTATATAAGATTTTATTATTATTAAGTAAGACATTATCCTTCTTCTTAGGAAACACATGCTGAAGTGTTCAGGGTAAAAGGTTATCATGTATGCAACTTATTCCCAGATTTTATTGGTAATACTTGAACTTGTATACCATGCAAATGTATGCATATAGTTCTTATGTAATTAAAAAAACCTAAACAACACAAAAGTATATAATGATACTTCCCATGCTCCCAGAAACTCAATTTCTGGTAAGCCTTTCATGGCTGGTCCACCACTGAGCCCCTGTGAGCCATGACACAGGAAAAATGGAATCGAGGGTAGAGAAGAGGCAGAAGTCAGACAGAAAAGGGATGAGCGAATGGTGAGTGGGTACCCAGCATGGAAGGAGAAACATGAAGGAAAAGAGAAAGAAAAACATAGTAGAGAAGACAGCATACTAATGTGAAAGCTTTCCTGCCCTCATGTATATCTGATCTGTCATTTCTCTTTTAAAGAGCACTTTGTGACTTAGACAAGACCTAGGACTTTCACATGGCCGACAGCAACAAAAGGGCTGTAGGAAGCAATCTTAATCCTCCCACATTCTACCCTTCTAAGAGACAGCAGCAAGAGACAGCTGGCCTCAGAGAAAAGCGACAGCTGGGTCCCATGTGGGGACTTAACTCAAGCACCTATCTGAGTCACATTGGGGCTCATAAAAATGCCAGTGTCCAAGACAGGCTTCTCTCCATTCAGCTGGATCTCAGGGGAGATATCAGTGTTTCTGGTATCAAGCATCAATGGTTCTGTTTAATCAGTTGTATATTGCTCCAAAGTTTCCTGATCATTCTCCAGATCGCTCCATGACATCAGAAGTGTCAAACATTCCTCATCATAACATTCTATTCTATTCCATACAAGGTTAATGCCAAAGAGATTTAGAGTCCTAATTTTCTTTCTAGAAGGAAGAAAAATATGTATGAACCACATAATTCCCTATCACAGCTCATAGCCAGAAGTAGGCAAAGTGAGATGGGAGAGGGATGGGGTAAGGTAAAGAGGGGTCCTAGGATCAGCGTGGCACCACCAGGCGGGATGGCTTGGTCATCTTCCATCTCTGTGCTTCAGTTTCCTTCCTTCAGAGTAGACTATGGTTCCCTTCCTTCTAAGGATGGAATAAGGACAACTTTCAGGATAGAAAACTGGGACTTGGAATCATTAGAGAAAAGAATCCTAGCCAGGCGCTGGTGGCTCATGTCTGTAATCCTAGCTACTCAGGAGGCTGAGATCTGAAGATCGTGGTTCCAAGCCAGCCCAGGCAGGAAAGTCTGTGAGACTCTTATCTCCAGTTAACCACCAGAAAATCAGAAATGGCATTGTGGCTCAACTGGTACAGCATTTGCTTTGAGCTGAAGAGCTCAGGGACAACAGCCAGGCCTTGAGTTCAAGCCCTACAACTGACAAAAAAAAAAAAAAGAGTCCTAATCATAGAAAAAGGGTGATAGGATAATGTACAAGAGCTGGGAAACCACATACATTCTTTTGGCTATCTATTTTTTGGTTATCTATCTACCTACTTACCTACCTATCTTTTCTCCATCAATTTATCTGTCTGTTGTAGTTTGGGTATAAAGTATCTGAAAGATCATGTGTTGAAGGCTTGGTCTTCAATCAGTGTGACTTTGGGGAAGTGCCTGGGTCATAAGCATGAGAACCTGATCAGTGAGTTAGTTCATTGATGAGTTCATAATTGGACAGAAGGTAGTAGGAACTTATTGGAGGAAGGGAATTGCTGGGTGCATGACACTGAAAGGATTGTCCCTAGCCTCTTCCTCTGTTTCTGTCTACTTTCTGGGCATCATAAGGTGAGCCTGTCAGCTCTGCCACAACTCCCTTCCTCCAGCCCTTCTTTCCCCTGCCATCCATGTTTCCTTCCTAGTTGTGACTAGGGCAGGCACTAGGGAACACACTGAACAGTACCATGAGGCATTTTCTCCCTAGGTATCCACAGCCACTTATATCTCAGATGCCAAATAATGACATCACCAACTGAGAAGTAACATTCTTCTCCACTCTCCCAAGCTTGCTCAGGTTTCCAAGATTCTTAACTATTTTCTTCTCTTAGAAACATCAAAGCACCACCATCACCACCACAGATGACAGACAAATAGGGACATTCTGTGTGTGTGTGTGTGTGTGTGTGTGTGTCTGTGTGTGTGTGGTGGATGCTTTCCATTTAAAACAGTCATCTGAT